AGCGTCTGCAAGGAGGGAAGTGTGGCAATATCACTTCCTGTGTCTGTCTGCATGTGAGACTGCTGCTAAAACGTCTGACGTTAACACCCTCATTAATAATCAGTGCCACCCGGCTCCTCGGCTGACAGCACGCAGATGATGGCAGGTTCTCATGTACTGTGCAGTCTAGCACTCTGCCTCAAATCCTCCAAGAACAGTTTCAAAGAGCCTCGGCTGTGCTCAAACATGCCAACTGAGTCTAGCAATATTCCTCAGCTCCCACCCAGCATGTATTCCCTCATTAGCGTTTCTTGAAACAGGGTACTTGAAGAAAAAAAGAATGAGTCGAATTAAAAGCAGAGCAGAGGCTCAAATGAGCCTTGGGCTTAACACTTGGGTGCCCTGGCGGCACTTATCAAAACAGAAGAGGCCCCTGAAAGTGGGGGTCCTCGAGGTATGCCCACTCGAGTCTGAATGAAAGTGTGTGCCAAGAGTGGGTATTCACCATGCATGGCAGGACTTTGGCACTCTTCAGGACATCAAGGGTCTCCCCGATGTCTCTGTCTTTGGCAGAATTTTCAGAAAGAGGCTTCAGAGGAGGACTGGAGCTTTTGCAGTTGCATTCCGTGCTTCATCAACAAGTCTGCTGACCCCAAAGGTCCACTCATTTTCAACCAGACTGGAGTAGAAAGCAGGTAAGGGCAGCAGGATGAGTGTGAGTATTTGAAAGGGGGTGGATGGGTCAGAGTTTGGGGGGGTGGGTCTGATGTTTGCTGAATGCTCCCCTTTGTTGGGATCATATTATGTTTCCACCACAATACTTCCAAGCCCTGCTTCATCAACTCCATTCATGTGTAACAGTTCATGCAAATGGCTGCACTGGCCTTTTTTTCTAGAGGTGGGGAGGGGGGGGTCTCTATTTTTTTTTTATTCTACCACACAACTACCCTCTCTGCAAACTCCTGACCACACACCGAAGCACAGATTATAATCCCTTCACACAGCTTTACATTCAAAAAAAAAGGAGAAGCATGGAAAACCAGCTTCAATGTCTGAATGACTTCATGTGACTGGAGGTGTTGAACACAATCCACAGGCAGGATGCAGGGCCAGAAACTACACACATGCTCCGCTTCTAATGACTCAAACATTTTACAACTGCAACAAATTAAAAGAAAATCAGAGGATGTGGATGCAACCAGAGAAGAAAGCAAAGTCTTCAACACAGACAGGGTGCTGATTAAACTCACAGAAAGCCAGACACAGGACAGCCACGGAAACATAACGTACGTTTAATGTGACACACAAATTGGCAAACACTGCCAGAGTAACAAACACACAGCGAAAGAACAGCCAGAAATGTGGACAGAGGAAGAGATGCTTCTATCCCACCTGTGTGTGTGTGTGTGTGTGTAGGAAAATAGGAAATGGCATTTAACCTTTAGTAGGGAAGAAGTAATTCCTTAGTTACATAAATTCATGCTTAACCTACACACGCCCCCTAATTGTTGTTTACTATTGCCCATTGAGGCATTTGTTGGTAAATCAGATTGTATTTACAGTGCAGGCCAATAAAAGTGAGCTGAGAGGTGTTTCACAGGCAGCTAATAGCTTTATTGCCACCAGAGGTGTTTTGTTGTCGCTGCTGGATGAGGTCCAATTAGCAACAATATGGCAATGATGACCAGTGGTTTCACTACAGCAGGGGTCTCTCACCCCCTGACAGACACAGCTCCCACAACAGACATCCATGTGACGAGGGGTAGATCAGATGAAATGTGTAAGGGTCAGAATGTACTTTTTTTAATACAATCAAACTGGGGCCAGTTCCAGTTTTGTGGGGCCCACAGGAACAACTGGGATTCCCAGGACCAGCCTGAGAACACCGCTGTCTGCAGCACAGCCAGGAACAAGTTCTAATGAATTTCTGCTGGGATGCTCAAACCTGATGTTAAGGGCCATAAGGTTTGATTTGAGGCCAAGGCAGACTCACCTGATGGTTTGGGTAAGAGTATATTTTAAAGACAATTTTCTCTAATTTAAAGGCTAAGGTGCTGCAGGAAAAAAATAAGGAAATGTAAACGAGACAGAAATACAATGCCCAAACTGGATCTTGTGAATAGGAAAACAGTAAATGAGCTGCAGTACAACAGAGCTCTGTGGTGGGGCCGGCTACGGACCAACTCACCCTGGATGATGCTTTCCTCTTGTACTTGTTGGCGAAGTCAAATTTCTCCTTGATCTCGTCCAGGAGCTGCTCCAGACGGGCCTTCTCCTCTTTCCCCGTGTAATCCTGGCCCAGGAGGATGTACGCCCTCCAGTTGGCTGAGTCGAAGCCCCAGTGGCAAGTCCTGTTCTCTTGCGCCTTGTGACTGTGCACCACGAACTTGTGGGTCGGGTACATGAGTCTGCAGTCCATGCACTGGATGCACGCTGCGTTAGGGCTGGTGTACAGCTCCGGCACGAACAAGCCCTTGCACTTGCCGAAGCACTCGTGGTAGACTTTGAAGCTCCTCTCGGTGAGCTCCAGCTCCAGCGAGCCTCCGCTCAGCTCCTTCTTGCAGCGCGGCGGGTAGGCGCCTCCGTAGATCAGGGCGTTGCAGAGCCGCTCGGCGTCCGTCTTGGTGATGAGGCCGCAGGACGGCGCTGAGAAGGGCAGGATCCCCATGACTTTAAGGATCTCCAGCTGGTCCGCCGTGCACCGGGAGCAGTAGATGTGCAGCTCGTCGCACACCGAGTTGATCTGCTGCAGGGTGAAGTCCCGCAGCACCGTGTTGAGGATCTGCGGCAGGCACAGGCGCTTCTCCCCGCCGACCACGAAGCACGAGATGGTCTCGCCTTCCAGCACCGTCTCGCACCTCTCAGTGGAGCGGTCCGACGGGATGAACAGGGGGCCAGGCATCACCGGCGGCGGCAGGTGCTGCAGAACCGGCTCAGACTCCTTCCCGTCCTTCTTGAAGAGGAGCTCATGCTGCCACCGGACAGAAAAAGCCGCCGGTCCTCCGAGCGAGCTCATAGAGCTGATATGAAACTGCTTGAGAGTTTGTTGCAGTCCCGGATGAGGTTGGAAGCTTTGCCGACTTACAGTCTCCATGTTTTTCCTAAAACTTTGGAAGCGTAAATCCTTCTTGTCGTCGCCCGGGAATCACGAGTATCTATCCGCCCCTGAACCTGGTAGATCCACGGTGTCCCAGAATTAACAAAACATTCGAAGCGCTTCATGAAACACTCAGCAAAAAGTCCCAGACGACGAGTCTACACTTCGGTCCCTGTGACTACTGAGTGAACACCGGCCAGTCGCTCGCCGACTGTCCATATCTGGGGAAACCCCACACAAGCCAAAAGTTCCGTTTGTCAAATTCCAAAAGCAAGCAAGCGAAAATTTAAGATGAGCGGGAGTTAAGGGTCGATACAGCTCGATTAAAAAAAAGATATCCTTGTTTGAGGCTCTTTCCGCTGTCGAGGACTGCAGCGAACCACTCCGTCTACCCCCGCAGTTCACTCTGACTGTACGGAGATGAGAAGTCTGAGATCCAGCCTGCTCGCTCTCTCTCCCTCTCCCCCAGTCTATGGCACTCTCTCACTCACGGTCCATCTATGTCTCTCTCTCACATGCGCCCCCTCCCTCTGTGTTTGTGTGTCTGGCTCAGTCATTGAATCCCAGCCAGGAATGTGAGCGACTCTGCAGGCAAGCTGGGCTCTTCCAGGAACAAGCCGCCAGCCCCCTCCACTGCTCTGCAGAGAGCAGAGAGGAAGAAAAAGTAGTGAAGGGAGAGGGGGAGACTCATGCTGCGTTCAAGTCGCATGGGGAAAACTACCCAAAGTTCATAAACTTTCTTACAGTAAATGTTGCTGTGGTGGGAAGTAACTACATGTAACTGAATAAATGAGTGGAAATAAAAATCTGCAGGTGTCACTGATTAATCAGCTGATTATTGTCTTGATTATCTGATGGATCCTTTTATTCACAGCGTCAAACACTGGGGGAAATGCCCACTATGGCTTCCAGAGCCAAAGGTGGTGTCTCCAAATGTCTTAACTAACAAATCCAACTGACTTTATACTACTCGTCCACATTTATTTGACAGCTGTAGTTACTTGGCAGATTAAGATTTTACATACTCTGACCAAACATAATGCATCAGAAATAATCATGTGGGTTGTATATTGACTATAAGGTAGTCTATAATGATGTAGTCTTTTTTATGTTTAAATAGGCCTTATATTTCTTTGCTAATATATCCATACTTGACTGCAATTGAGTAATCTATTTTTTAAATAAACCAATAAAATGAATAATTCTGAAATGTACAAGGAATTGTTCCCAGTTTCAAAATTTTGTACATTTATGTTCACACATATATTTGTAGGCTGCTTTTGAATTTTGAATGTGTGGCTCTTAATTGTAAATTCTGGTATTTGTAGTTATATTTGATGAGAAGGTCTGAGCACTTCTTGCATTACTGAAATCACTGCATCAGAGAGTCTGTGGTGCCCAAACAGTCATTTTGTTATAAGATCAATACAGCGTTGACTAATGCTGCCTTAAGATCCTGTCAGGAGGCCTTAGAAGCATTTCAAGGGAGCCGAGTTATAAGAGCTTATGTATTTGTCCAGGTATTGATTGTATCCGACGCGAGCATGTCGTTTTCCACATGTGACTGCAGGTGTGTTGACGGCTGATCTTAAATGTGGTCATTTACATGCTGAAACCTGAGGTGAACGGGATTTTCACACAAAGATGCCATATTTCCCAAGGGCTGTGAATGTAACATAAGAATGGCGAGCTGAGTCAAGCGGTGTGTTCACGGCTGCGGAGAGAGGGGGAGAGAAGAAGCCTGGCGAGGATGGGTGGTGTGTTGCGAGACAAGACAAATTTAGCTTTGGAAGGGGAAAACGCAAAATGCACGACTGACTGCGGTTTGTTTATTTTCCCTTCTGCTTGAATGTGTTAAAACTGTTTGGCAAGTAGTGGCGAATAAACAAGTTTCATGTGTTGGCGACCTTGAGAGACAATCTCGCTAATGAAATGACAAGAGAAGATAGGATAGATTTGGGCTTGTTTCGTTTTTCACAGATCAGTTATTACAAATTGTCAGTAGGCGGTCAAACCACCAGCACTGTCAACAAAGATTTTGTGTATTTATAATTCTTTATATAGTCTTTCTATTTTATTTATTTTACTTTTTACCCATAAAAAAATGCAGTCCCTGTGCAAATCCACAAATTTGGCTCAAAGAAATGCACTATTAGAAAGTTTAAAAATTTCACTTATCATTGGATTAGATGTAGGAATTGTGCTTGATTGCTCATGCTTGTCTGAGTAATGCGTTTTGGAAGCATATTATGTAAAAGTGTAACAGTCCACTTTATTCTAAAACATCCAGAGGATTTGCAGAGCCGTTTCTAAGGTTGACTTTTTTAACAAGGAAAAGAAGTTTGTCTAAATCTTATTTTAGAAAGAGAATAAGTAAGAAGTAATAACCAGCATGATGCTTCAGCCCCAGGGGGTCATGTGTCCAGACAAGTTCAAATACACTTCTGATGAAGGAGTTTGCTGCTCCTGTGGCGCCTCCTAGCCCAACACCACTGTAACTGCAACAGGGTGGCAGGGGCCAAGATCTGGTGGCCAGCAGAGCCTGAGGGTCAGATGTTATATTACATTTGTGAATGTACATATGAAAATGCTGTCAGCTATACTCCTACTTAATAGGAATCTAAAATAAACAAGAAGTGAGTCAGTAATAATATGGAAAACAGAAGAATGATTCAAAAAGTGAGAAGCAGACATTGTACCCACGCTAAATACCTATTTTGCCTCTGATCAAAATTGCCACCTTTACTCTGTGATGAGTTCAGTGGTCTAAAACCTCAAGTTTGCCACTGTGATGTGTGGGTGGGTATGATTCATCCTGTTTGTTGATACTGCTTTTATATTATATGTGTTTGTAGAGGTCTTCACAGGACCGCTGTGTCCTGAGTAACCGAGACCTGACATGGGACTTCTGCTCAGGATTAGGTCTGGTTTTACTGCAGTGGGTCGGAGGTCTGTGTGCCAATGTGTCCAACACCACAGTGGACTCTGAGCATATACGTATGAAGAAAATCATTCTCCTACGAGATTCATGGCAGTAAATTACAGCTTTTTGGAATTTGATTCAAAAATATTAAACAGATTAGAATAATGGCTACAAAATGTGTTGGTGGTGGTGGAACAGAGGGAAGTTATTTGAGATAAATCTGCACCTGAAGCACATAAAGTGTGCAGGGCACTTTATAGACACATAAAATGTCTATGACTTTATATTAATTCTTAAGACATTATTATTATTATTGTTATTATTAGTTTTGTTGCTCTTTTCCAACACTGCTTGTTTTGACCTAACTAATAGGCATTTTCTGCTCTCTGTCTGTTATAGTGGGCCATATTTTGGATCTTGTCTGTATGGGTTGGGTCTGGCTGTTGTCAACTCTTCCTTGGATTGATAATTGGTCTGTCCAGTAGTATTTTGTGAAGTAGGCTACATGCCGGTGTTCAAGTATGATCTCGTTTATTCTGTTAGGAGAGTACTGTGTAGGCCTACTGCAAACTACACGTGATTACCTGTGGGCTGAGGAGTGGGCTGCACCAGCAGGTTTCTTTGGGAGTATAATGAGCTTTTCTGTGCACACTTTTTTTCATTGTTATGTTGTTGATGTCCTCAGCCTTGGAACCTTGACATCATGCCTTTTGAAATGAACTGCATGGACCAGTACTTTCACTTCCAGCTGATGACAGTGACAAAACATTGCCTACTCATTTGATTCAGACAGAAAATCTCAGAAAATATTCACTGAAATGCAGTCTATACGAAAAGCCAATAACATTTATGCTAGTTTAGCCTACAGTGTTATTAGAACCTAATTCAGAGACCATATGGGTTCACGGTTCTAGCCAAATATTTTTATTCTAAAAATAGTAAGCTGGATCTGGTTAGCCTAGCTTAGGGCAACACATTTTATCTCATTCATGCATTTGTGCAGTGAGTTTTAGAAGTGCTGGGAAGTGGACTTTTGAACTTTAGACGGAGCCATGCTTGCTGTTTGCTTCTGCTTCCAGTCCTCATGCTAGGCTAGGCTAACCACATCCTGACCCTCGCATAGTCCAGTGTTGGAGCCACTGGGCTCTGCCCCAGTCAGACAGCAGATAAGAAACTGTTCATGAGGGGGGCTAGAGACAGTGCTGGGCCTGTCAGTCTGGCATGAAGTTATTCTTTCAGCCAGCACTGAGCTCTGGCAGCTACATGCTGGATGTGGGCCTGCAGCACACTGACATATTGTATCACTGTGTGTGTGTGTGCATTAAGTGGTAATGGATACAAGTGAGATACAGCGCTGGTGCTTCCTTCAGACTTCTCATCCTATCAAGGCCAAAGCTACTAGACAATATGGAGCGGATGCCAAGTATCATTTTCAATAATTCATAATGCTCCCAGTATGCAGTGCCTGTCCTCCTGCTCTCCTTGTTCTCTCATAACTCTGCACTCATCATTTACTAGCATTATTTTTATTTGTTGCTGTTTGCTCAGCTTGAGCTTTTCAGATTCTTCTCTTGTGTCTACAGCTGTGTAGATACAAAATTGTCTAAATTATCTTTTTTTGGAAGTTACAAAATTCCAAAAAAAAATTTGAAACAACTTTTTTGCTGATAAACAATTTGTTTGAAGCATACACAGACTTAAAATATAAAACTGAGAGTGTATAAATACATGACCTGCTAAACTTGTTGAATCTGAATCCCAGTCAGCTGCAGCTGTATCTCTGCCTCCAGGCTGAGCCAGGCTCTGCCCCTCTGTTTCAGTCTTTTTGCTGTTAAGCACATTCTGATTCCAGTTTCATACTTAACACACTGATATAACACTAACAACTGTCTTATCTCACTCTTAGAAAGAAAGAGAATAAGTACATTTCAAACAATGTTGAACCATTCCTTTAATTCCACACATGCGTATAGTAATAACTAAAAATGAAGCCATGAATACATTATTTTTGAAAATGACCAAATGTAAATGACATCCAAAACCAAAGCTTTACAAAATCAGAACCAGTAGCATAACCCTATATGGGGCAAAACATTTTCGGTCCCAAATAGAGTTCTGGTATGGTGTGGCTCGGGGATGGAAAGACATGGAGGCAAGTTTGTGGAAAATGCACAATATGTTTTCCTAATTCTGCAACATCTGGAAATCCAAATGATGCGGCATGAAAACCAAGTTCCATCCTTAAAATATAAAGCACTTAAAGAGATGCAGATCACATCTCCCAAAGGTCACAGTGAGGTGGACTCTTCCTGGCAAAAGAGACTCTGAAGGACCAAACATGACTTGAAGCAAAACAGTAAGACCAAGTACCCAAGATGGCCCTGACATGGGGTGGTGGTGGTGGTGAGGTGTTAAGTTAAGTATTCCACGCTGGGGCAGGTTTACAAAAGTGGGACAGGACATGGTGTCTCTCAGCCATACTCCCCCCTCCATGACATACTGCTGCCTACAACCTTTCTGTTGTTATTCCAGCTTCTCTATCCTGTGTTGTCAAAATGCAGTCTGTAACTTAGCGCCGCCTGCCACTTAGCCAAGGTTATAGGAGGTGGTTTTCAAACTGCTGGTAGTCATTTCCATCAGCCAACCATAGAGGAGCTCTCCCAGCTAAAAGTCTGAAACAGTGGCTGCCAGAGTGAAGAGGTGGCTTTTTTTTGCAAAGAGAGAGTGGGACAAAGACAGAGCAAAAACCAGGGCTAACATCAGTTTAAAACAGTTTACATCAGTTTACACAACAGTTTACAAAATATCAGTTTAAGACAGTTAAAAACAGCCAAAGGACTCAGCTTGGATTCAGATGTGGCATTCTTCCTTCTGGACTCGTTAGCATCTAAAGCTAACGTGTTTGTGTTGGTAACATTAGTGACCTGGCAGGATCATGATTTTACCTTTGTGTTGAAATAATATGATTTTGTGTAACGTCAGTGCTTTTTCACATTAGCAGTAACCAGAGCGCTCTACTGGACTGACACATTTACTAACACTAAGGCTAGCCTCAGACTGGAGGCTGCATTTAGTTCAGTTTGTCACAACCAGTTCACACTTTTATTAGAAAGCAGCATGTGATGAAAGGGGTAAAGAGCGGATAGGAACGGCTTATGGTGCCAGTTAGTTTTGAGTCTCACTAGACCCTCTAGGCTGAAAAGATATTAGATGCCAGTCTTCTAACTAGCTATAGTGTACAGTGTCTATATTCTCACTACTCCATAGAGAAGGTGACTTGTGGTATAACCTGTCAGAAACTTTAAACAGTTAAGGCTGCTCCTACCTCACATTTATTCTCCTAAACATCATCACTGTCGCCATAGCAGCAGAACACAACACAACCTCACGTGGCATTGATGACATAATGTTTCTTTCCAGGCGCCGAACAGCTTTTTCCCAGAGTAGCACTCTGTACCACAGACCTGGCCCACTGCTCTGCTTTTGTGTTTCTTCAAATGTGTGGTTGAGGTAGAACAAACTGATTGGCCAGTGTCAGCAACTCAGCAGAAGTCCTTCTGGAATACTCATCTAATGGCAGTGATTCAAAAAGAAGTAGAAAAAAAATCCTTTCACCTTATTTCAAAGTGACAGGTTTTCCCATAGTGCTGTTTTCCATTCTTTTAAATAATGCTCTCCTTTTGCCTTTCATTTCTTTTCCTTCCGTTCAGGCCAGTGTTCCCTTGTCTTTTTCCATTGCATAATTGTAGCCACTCTCCGTTGGTCCCTCACTTCTGGCCAAAAGCTTAAAAGCCTCTGAAAGTCCCACCATTATTATGACTTCAACTTTCCACTTTATGTGTGTCTTTGCAAAAGGAACAAAGTATCATCATTACAGCTAGCATTCTTGTGTGATGTAACCTTCTGTAGTGTGCACGGAGTGCATTAAAAGTGAGAGTTGATGAGTAGTTGGTACAATCAAACAGTGGACATTAAAAGTTAAAGTCACAGCCAAATTACATCCAATCTTTTATTTTGATGAACTCCATCCATCCATCCATCCATTTTCAGACTAATTAGTTTTGCCTTTTCACTCATTTTAATAGATAATTGTTTTGCACATTGGAAAGTTAGTTTTACACTGTAATCGGTTGTTTTCTGCAGGAAGAAGTGAAACTGAAACCTGGATTTGGGTTTGTTTACATCACATTTCTGATAACTACTTTTATTTTTAAAGAGTGCAAGGCAATCATTTATAGTTCACTTCTGCATTTTTTGGAATGAATTGATTTGTGGGCCAAATTCTGCTTAATGATGTAAATTGTTTTAAACTGATGTTAGCCCTAAACATGAGCCTTCAGTTATTTTTCAATAATGGGGAGCTGTCAAAGGGAAGAAGCAACTTTCCCATCAATCTTTTATGTGAAAACAAAATATTTAATTAGTGGATAGCTGTACATAGTTCGTTTTAATCTCTAGAAAAGTACCACCACTCAGTCTAGGTCAGTGGCTAAAGTGTTAATTCCTATATGAAATTCAATCCATGTATTAACAGACAAACAAAACTGTGATAATAGCAGCAGTAGAGCAGGTGGCAGTAAAGGCATTACAGAAATCAATAAATAAACAGGAGTTACACGTGCAGTGAGGCAGCAGAAGCATCCTGTGTGTTCTCAGTGTATGGTTTTAACATTTAGCCTTACCAACACTGTCAGTCACAGTCACTTGTACAAAAAAAAAAAACTTAAGAAGCTTAAGTCAGGGTACATTTATCAGGTGTGGAAGAAGTAATTAAATACTTTTATTAAAGTTAAACTAGCAATACCACAGTGTAAAAATACTCTATTACAAGTAAAAGTCCTGCATTCAGAATTAATTTAAGTAAAAGTACAAAAGTATTAGCATCAAAATATACTCAAAGTACCAAAAGTAAACATGCTCATTATGCAGAACAGCACATTTCACATTGTTGTGTATTTTATTATTGAATTATAATACTGACCAATTATTGCGTACAACTGGTAAAGGTGCAGCTAATCATTTGAAGTACTACTGGATGGCTTGTGAATTTCCCACCAGGTATGAATACAGTCTTATGATTATACTGAATTTTGTTCTGTTATATAGATTCTGAAAAGTAACTAGTAACTAGAGTTGTTAAATACATGTAGTTGAGTAAAAAGTGCAATATTTACATTTAAATGTAAAAAAGCTGAAGAAATATATATTTACAGAAAATGAAAATCCTCAAACTCAAAACTGTACTTAAATATGCTACTTGAGTAAATGTGTTTAGTTACTTTTCACCTCTGAAATTTACTAGATTTTAATGGAGCTTTTAAACTTATCCCAAGGACAGTATGAACTTTATACTTACTTGTAGAATGTATAAAGCTTTTTTATTTTAGTTGATTGTAGTGTATCTGTGAAGCCTCTGTGTATCTATTACTATGCACAGCTAACATAACGGTTGTTCTTCAATAATCACAATGCATTCTCTTGTGCCCACTGGATTATTATGAGGAGATCTTTGCTCATGTTACATGAAGTGATAAGTGCTGCTTTTCTATGCTATGTGCATGTATGCGAGTGCGAGGGGAAGCCCTCTTGAATAACACGTTTTCTGATTGGATAGAATTGAGTGACGTCATGTTTAAGGAATACGGAAGTTCCCGTTACTCAGGTATTTGACGAATAGCGCGAAATTTCGAAGCTGGTTTACTGATTAAACTCATGGCTGAAAGTTACCCAAAGTCCAAACTTAAACGAAAGAAAGCATCAGTCGAAGAGCGCAAACCGGACATATCGTCGGGGGGAGCGACACCGACGGGTCATTCAGCGTTGTTCTCCGGTGGCATTACATCAGAGAACGTTGGGTGGGTGCTCAGTTTATCTTGTCAGCTTTCATGTAGCTTTTAAGTTTACGGATTAAAACGTCCAATGTGAAACTGTGGCTTAAGCCTATGATTGTATTTTTAATCACACACGGGCCCGGGTTTTATTTAGTGACTTCCATAAAGCTTCTGCCTGGTGAGTAAACAAAGCGCCAAACAAGAGAACGAACTTCTAATACAGTCATAACAATTTAAGGTTTTCTTGCTTCTCTGCTGAAGTTGATCATAGACTAAACATAATTGAACATCTCCTGACAACAAGTGGGTGTCAATGGAAAATTCGGCATAACAAAAACAATCTGTGACCTAAGTTTTAAAGGTAAAGGTCTAATCTTATAAAGAGCACTTTCATAAATAATTTGACAGATTAAAGTGCATAAAAAACAAACAACATTAAAAACCCGCCATCATCCCGCTCTCCCCGTTGGAAGATTTTTTATACACCTGGAAACTTGGCTTTTCTTGTAACGTGTTCTGCTGTATTCAGACACATGTTCGATGGGGGTCTGTAAAAGTAGGGCCAGAGCTGCATTAATAAAAAGAGACAGACTGAACTCTGGGTAGTTGTGTGAAACCTACGGTATGTAATGTGTGGTTTACAGGTCAGTGCCTTGTGCAACAGCGTGGTGGAACAGAGAGCAGCTGCCTGCTGTGGAGAGTTTGTGGGCACTGACGTTGAAGTCTGCTCTTCCCCTCCAGGTGGACCAGAACTGGGACCGGGTTCCTGATCTCCCACCTCCATCTACAGTGGTATGTTACCATCAAGTGTACCTCAGCACACAGTTCCTGTAGTGAAGATGGATAAAGCTCAATCCACACTCAAACTTACATATGTTCAGATGCTGAAAAATGTTCTCATTCTTGCATAGACTGTTGTGATGTGCTGTGGCGTGAGAGGTGTAGATTAGGACTACATGATTTTTAGAAAGTGTTCAAACCCTTACTTTAATTCACTACTTTGTAGAAGTTGGCAGCAGTTAGAGCTTCCAGTCATCTTGGGTAAGTCTTTCACGGTTTAAACACCTGGATTTGTGCAGTTTATCCCATGCAGAGCCTCTCATCAGATTCAATGGGAAGTGTCTGTGAACAGCCATCTTCAGGTCTTCTTACAAATGTTCTCTGGGGTTCAAGTCTGGGCTTTGGGTGGGCCCCTCAGTGATAGTCATAGACTGGCCCTGAAGCCACTCTAGTATTGTTTTGGCTCCAAAATTTAAATGCTGAGTCCTTGCATTTGTTTTTCTTTTCATGTCATGTTAGAGACCCACAGCACTAAAGTTAAATGAACAGCTGTGGTGCGACTTCAGTGAAGAGGTCGGCCCTTTCCCTGTGACCGCTCCACCTCCTCAGAAGACTTCGAGTCCACATTCTCTGAGGCTCAGCTCCTCCCAGCAGGATCTCTTGGCACTGACTGAACCTGTACCAGACCTGCCTGACAGACAGCTGTCCTCTCACAGCAGGCAAAGCCACGATGGCGAAACAACATCCCTTCAAACTCTCACCAAACGACCGCAGCCATCCCTCCACAGCTGGGAGGAGACAGCATCATCAACAGGATGCACAAGTGTTGGGGGAAGAGAGGGGAGGACAGGAGGAGAGCAAGGAGAACCCAAGACCGGACCTGTGAACAGATGGCTTCTTACAAACCAGATGAAGGTTTCTGACAACCAAGTTTTTCTGCAGAAGGAAGGCGAAAATAAAGAGGAGGTGGATGAGGACAACACGAAAGAGGAGGTGCAGGGGAGTTTCAGAGGAGCAGGAGCAGCAGCAGCAGCAGCAGCAGGAGGAGGAGGGTTGCAAAGCTGCCCCATGTGCCTGCTGGTGTTCCCTGTTGGGTAAGAGCTGCAACACACCTGAATAACATAAGAATTATTTCTCTTCCATCTCTGCACGTTCTAATTTCTCAGTTTGGAGAAGAGAGTTAACTCATCACCCACTGCACTGACTGGTAGAATTTGGAATAGCTATAAGATGTGTATGAAACAGATACATATTATATACACAACATCTCTGCAAGATTATGTAGATAAGGGTGTTATGTGTTATCACAGGTAACAGAAGTTCACAAATATATGTAGGAGTTAAAAAAACAAAAAAAAAAACCTACAAACCTCTCTGATCTAAACCCGTGCGCAGTTGCTCACACACATCCCACGGCAAAATGTTCCAGCCTTGGAGATTTGCTCTTCAGTTCTGCTCCATGTTTTAGCTTCTTTTCTTTGCAAATGTGTACTAGACTGGTATGCTGACGTCCCGCTTTTTTGAACATATTGGTGTCTTAAATAGTTAAGTCACACACACACACAGTGGCTGTAATGTAGATGTAAATATGTAATCAACATTTTTCAACAGAAAATGAAAACACATTTAGGCAAATTCACAGTTAACAGTGAGATACTTGCAAAACTAAAGTAAAACTGATTGGCCTCAGCGTTGGTGTATGCTGCTAATTAGCAAATATTAGCATGCTAACATGCTAAACTGGTGAACTTGTTAGAAAATGCAGCATGTTAGCATTGATATTGTCATGATGACATTGGCATTTGTGTTGAAGCAGTTTTATACTGTCTATTATTACAGCAAAGCTGGAGACTTGTGTTGCCTGTTGTCCATTCAGACAAGCCAGGTGTTAACACACCTGCCAGAATGAGTCTGGGCTTCAGCACCGTGATTTCTGAGCCTGAATATTTAGTTTGTTTTGACCTTCATTTGATATCCCGTTTTGTAAGATAAGGGCAGATTAAGGCAAAGGTTGAACTGCTTTTGAAATAAGCATTATTTCTGTATTAACTATTACCAGTATGTTCAGTCTATTCATATAGTGTCCTTTTCATTTTCAAAGCCTATTGAATGGCATTTCCAGTACATGCCTGTATAACAGTAATCTAAGTTTTCCAAGTGTGAGTTTTGATAAAAGTCAACACAGCATAATGTATTGGTATATACAAGTGTGTGTTCACTGTCAGTAGCACCAGTGGATCGCCTTGTTCCTGTCCCTCCAGGTTCAGCCAGATGGACTGTGACGGCCACCTGGCCCAGTGTCTGTCGGAGATGAATGTGGACATGACCTGGTGAGCCTGCAGGATGCTACGCTGGCAGCTGTCCAGGAGCTAAGAGCAGCCCAGATGCCCCACACACTCCAGGATCCTATCGTATGGAGGACTCACCCAGCATGTACAGAGAACACATCACTATTCATGAAAGCACCAACACCTTGCACAGGACTCTTGGAAGCAGAGGGTTTTACCTCAAGGTGAGTCAACCAGAATGTTCACCTGATATAAGAAAAAGCATCAGAAGTACATTTCTGTGTTATGAAACAGGGTTCATTTGAAGGCTCCTCTCAGAAGACCCTGCTGTCATGTTTCATCTCACTCGCTTTAGACACCAGATCTGAAATATACCTCCTCTCGAATTTGTGTACTTGGCCTGTAATGCCTTTGATTCCAGCTGGTCAAGAGGATCTGCAAATTAGAATGACAATCCAACCTGCCTGGTCCTCTGAAAGATAAGAGACCAACGTGGAACTGAGCCACATCCCCCTAACAGGCACAAACATGCATTAGACTGACTCGTACACCATCAGGTCCACTGTCAATTAGACAAAGCTGAAACCATTTCACAACGTGCGCCCAGCCTGAATGTTATTAACATTCAGCGGAGTTATCATCATGTGATGTTGTTGAAATAAATGATTTCAGTCACTGAAGTTTTTGTTTCGTGTGTATAAATGGCTTGTGTCTCATGTAATGTGCAGCAGGGGAGCCCATTCCACTGCACTGGGATTTTGCAGATATTTTACACATCATTTCTGTTGCCCCACCTTATTACAGACTAAAAGGTCCCCTCAGGAATATTGGTTTCTTTTCTGAAGTACACAAAGTGTATTTTTTTTAAATTTCCGTTTGTGTTAAGATTAATCCAACGAGCTACAACATATTAACCAACTGATGCAGACATGTTGGTAGGTTAGTTTTTGAACTTGGGACAGAGCCAGGTGAAACACTTCCAGGCTTGATGCTAAGCTAAGCTAACTATATCCTCACTCCAACTACTAACTGAATGAGCCTGATAGTGAGCATTGCATTCCAATCTCAGAAAACATGTAAATCAACTACAATATTTAGTTAAATGGATTCAGAAGGACAGTTATAATAGCTCAAATAGCTATAATAGAACAAAATCAATGCAAAAATACTTTAGTTGCAGAGCTTGCCTTCCTACCATACTCAATTAAGAAAATTAATTATTTCAAAAATATCACAATCTCTGCAACTCTGACAGCCTGGTGGAAAGCAAACAAAACTACTAAATCATCATTAACACCATGCAGATACACTCCAATTTGGCACAGCCCTGACTTTCAAATTCATAATAATCCCATCTACTTTCCAGCATGGCAACACAAAGGAATCACTCACCTTCATCATCTGAAAACAACCAGTTTATACCATTTAATACATTAGTCCAGAAGTACAGAGTTGGGAGAGGAGAATTTCTCTGGTACCACCAGTTAAAATCCATAATTAAATTAAAGATCAATATAATCAACAACTCACTACAACCTTCCATGCTAGCGGAGGAGATAATGAAGTTTACAAACTCAAAGAAGATAATAAATAAACTTTATAAACTAATGTCAAATACAGATGGAACAACAATAATACCAATGACTAAATGGGAAAAGGATTTGTTGCTCCCCCCCAGCCCTGACTTCTGGACCAAGATCTGTAATAATATCTTCTTGTTGACTACCAATATAAACTTACAGCTTATACAATACAAGACTATTCACAGGACTCACATCACACAAGGTAAAATGTTTCAAATGGGTTTCACTGATACAGTTACCTGCTCACAATGCACTCTGGATTGCGCCGATGATTACTTCTACGCTACTTGGACCCGTCAACCCGTTTACTCCCTCTGGGTAGCGTTGACAGAGAAGCGGAGCTGTAGAATCCTCCATGTCCATCACTCTGCCTGCTTGGTAATGTCACAGAAGTCAACCACCTACCGATTAAATATAAAAACCCACTTCTTATCTCAATATCGCCAAGAAAACAATCTTTTTAAACTGGAAATCTAAAAACTCATTACACATCAACCAGTGGACCGACCCCATAGAATATACACTAAAGAAAATAACATCCACCCATAAGAATAATATACCAACCTTTACTGACACTTGGAATCCATTTCTAACCACTTTGAACTTAAACCACATACCTGAGGCCGAGGCCACGCACATTCCCACAAACTCCTAGAAATATAACAAGCTGCTTTTATTTCATTGTTACTGTTATTGGTCCTCATTGTCCGTTTTTTTTTCTCTTATTTCCTCTATTTTATTACTACAATCATCCATTTTCTATCACTTTTCTTTACATTTACAACACCTGCCTTTTCTTAATTTGTTTTAATTCTACTTTTCTTTAAGTAATGAACATTAGTCTGCATAGAGTTGGATACACCCACACTACACACTTTCACACACACAACTTAATACCTTCAATTAATAATCCCTTTGCTTCTTTTGTTAATGTCTGTGGTCTCATCTACTATGTTATGTCCTTTGTCCTGTAAATGTGTTATTTTGTGTTGCAATAAAAACAACAACAAAAAAAAACAAACACTGGTCAGGTTGATGTGGCCGGTGACTGCTCATCAGAAACACGGAGCTCCAGAGCCAGGGCAACCTGCAGAAAGGTACAGGGAGAGAGAGAAGACACACTATGGGAGAGAGGAGACACACAGTTAATGGCATGTACTGGTGGTATATAGTTAAAATGCATGAGGAGGAGAGGGGAGCAATGTGCAGAGTGGGTGAACTGATGCAATCTACTGAAGACACTACTGCTGATCTTTAAATATTCATTTCTAGTAAACAGATCAAGTTTATTTTCTCTGGATAAAATAAATGCAGAAGATGGTGTTAAATATCACACAGTTGCCTTTTGCAGTCTCCCAGTACGAACAGAGGAGGCAGTGATCCAGGATGTGCTGGTGTGTGAGGCAATACACAGATACAAAACTGTGGCATCTTTAAAACTTTTCTGCCACTGTCTGCAAAAACGAAAGACTCAGTTCACGGAAAACCAGTATCATTTTTAATAATTACACATATTTACAATGATGCATTGAAGCTAAATTAAGTATGTCCAGCCAGCGTTGTGTTAAAACAAATGATGAGCAAGGTTCAATCATTTTAAGATGATGGTTTTCTTTGTTTTATTTCTGAATGGCTGTCACTGCTCTGGAGCCATTGGTCCCTCAAAGGAAGCCACTAATGTGTGACTTGGCCTTTGACAAGATCAACAAAACGTGAAGTTAATAAAATGCACCGTGTGTGTTGCTTGTGTTGAACTAACCAGTGACCGTGGAACTGATTCATTATGTCTCCTCTCACTCTTTCTTCCTGCAGCTAATTCAGACCCTTTGACTCAGGATCATGTAATTAATCTTATGTTATCAAGTTAGCATGGGTCAGAATTCATCAAATTATTCTGAGCCGACCGAGCTGTTGTGTCCTGGGAAGCGTGCAGACATAGGGATCAAGACAAAGCTTGTATCGCAAAGGCGACAACTCCTTTCTGTCAGTGACTTTAATCCGTGCTTCCAATTGATATTCACAGATGTGCCAGGTTTGATCCCAGGCTTTTAACAGCACAAGGTCCTAAATTCAGTTACACACGCTGTATGCTGTGTACAAAGGTGGCAGTACATGAAGTTAAACCTGAACCTGAAACAGAAGCTGTACACAAATAATCTAATGGCTTCTTGTTTTTGTACACACACCAGCATTTGAGACATAAAGGTTACGATTCAGAAAACCTGTGATGAATCATTACGGTGCATCAACCAGTGATGTTCGAGAGGTGACCACCGTGTGCAGGGCTGGCTTTACACAGGGCTACTGCAGAATGTTCCAGGTGACAGAAATGTAATTCTTGAGTAGGACTGTGTATTAACTCAAATGGCTCAATACTGATGCCAGTGCTTAGTTTGAGGAAACATTTTTGATTCAGTGAAACTGCTCAGTGCATCAGTAATAAACAACTAAACACTGTAAGGGAAATGCTTAAATAAAACCATCTATAGTTAGAAACATTTTCTGATTTAGATCAAGACATACAGCTGGGTGGCAAACGAAAGGAAAATCTAGCATGAAGTGACTGACATGCTTTTCAGTAGTGTCTCCATAGCGGCTCCTCTGTTTGAGGGACAGAACGTCATTCTTCCAAAACAGCCAAAAGGGGATTTTCACCAGTGTTTCACATTCTGTGAATAAAAAGATTAATCTGCATTTTTTTTTTAAATTTCCACTCATTCTGAATTTCCCCCCCATTTGTCACCATCTGTGATCAAATAATAAAAAAAAAAAACAGGCTAAAAATCCTGATCACATATTTGACAACTTTTGATATTTGACATTTTTCAATAGTTACTGCTACGCATACATTTTGGGCTGTGCCCAAAAAGTATTTCTTTAGCCAGCCATATTACAGATGCAGTCTGATCACAGACAGTGCATGTTGTTCTATTTAAGCTAGGGATGTCCCAAACAAGTTTTTTTTTAAGCCCTGGTCCCAATCTGAGTCCTGTAACACTGGGTGTCTGCTAATACCAAGTCCAACACCATAATTCAATTGCCCTAAACAGAACCCTCCAAAGTTTGCTGCATCAGTGTTTCATTCACCACCACCACCACCTAGACGTCACTGTGTTCTCTTGCATGGTTTCTTTTAAGGTGCCCTTTTCCACAGTGAAAAAGGACCGTGGGGGAAAAAATTGTCCCATTTGTGCAAGTGTTTGTACTGCTTGTTCTACAGATGTTCAACATGTTTTTTCATTCATTATCGCTCATACTGTTTCAGTGCCAAATGTTGTGGTCGAATGAAGTAAAAAATGATTCCACCCAGTGTGTCTGTGTGCGTCTTTGGGCAGTTCACTCTGACAGAGGTACAGACTCCAAGATTAAGAATCACGGGGCAAAGTAAATGAGGATCAGCATTCAAACAAATTTTGATCAGCTTGGGTCCAGTTTAAACTATACTGAGTGTCTGCATGCAAAGATACAGTACATTCAGCAGTGCATACAATCTGCTTGCTCATTCATTTTAGACTGTCTACACTAGCTTCTTACAGACATGGGCAGGTATTATTTTTTAGGTCATGCTGCCACACGACTATTTTAATAGGGGGTATTTTCCCAGGACCTGTGGCCTGGCTAGTTCAAACATCTGGTGATGTGTGAAAGCTGTTTTAATTCCAGGCCTGGTCTGGTGATAGGTGTCACCCACTCCTACTGTGGAGCATGTCCACTTAAAACTACAATATGCAAGTTCTGGAAATGGGTACCTTGCTAGCCACACATTGAGCCTCGGTGTGAGAGGAACAGGAAGCCAGGAGCATGTCACGTACCGACTGATGGCCAAGAGCTCCCACTGACTCGCTCAAAAACATTTGAAAAAAGTTACATAACTCCCAATCAACCCATTGGGTCGGGTTTAGTTGCTTCACATACGGTATAGCAGGAAACACATCTATAAGGTGACAAAACTAAGACTGTAATTCACAGTCATAGTGATCGATCATCTACCAGTGGTTTTCCAGTTTTAAAAAGTCTAAAAATGATTACAAATGCTCGTCACAAGTAAAATTCTGTTGGCCATCTCTTACATGAGTCAGTTACATTGCTGGAGCAGTATCAGCATTAAAATAAATAGAGAAGCGCTGTGCAAAAATAATAAAACCTGGCTGCCGTGAAACTAAGCAGGGTGTAAATCTGACTTGAACTCCAACTGAAATTAAACTGTTGAATGTTCTATCAAGGAAGAATACATCCCCTAACAAGATAAGTTTTATATCCTCGATGCAGATGCTACAGTCAACACCACTGCTAAAACACAATGCTGTCGGTCCTTTGCCTGTAAACAACAGTTTAAATGTGTTCACATTGCATCTCAGTGCCCCTGATGGCTAAAGGAGTTTGTGATGGAGACCTTTGTTATTTGAACATGATTACTGACTGCAAAAAGAGATTACTGTCATTTCACTTGGACTTTTATAACCGTACGAAACAATCTGCCAGTTGGAATTACGCTGAGCAGTAGTTAAATCTGAGTTGCAGCATGTAAAGCCAGCATTAGTGCAGAGATGGAAACACACAAAAAGCCCAAAATGGAAATAGAGACATGTTTCCACAAGGCAGAACAACCGACCGGCTGCAGATGGTCACACAGTGGCAGCTGGGATCGAAGAGTCCGAGCTCAGCCAGCAAGCCTGCGCACACCACAGAGGACAGAGCCAGGGAACTGCTTTGTTTTTCAGCTGAAGTCCTGATATGCTGTTTATCTAAAGCTGCCAGACTGTGATTGGCAACATGTGCTCTGTGGCCTGTCTACACCTTTATACTGGGTCTGGCTTTGGGAAATCTCTTCACTACTGTGAAATTATTAAATATCTATGCACAAGTTTTACCCTTAGGCATTACATCTCTTACTGCCAACAGTTTGAACAATTTCTGATGTTTGCTTAGATGCTGCTCTTGTGACTCTATAGACCAGTCATAAACAATCAGTTCTACACTGCTTATTTCAACTGTTTAAAATATTAAAATATTCTTTAAAGATAATAAAAAAAATCTGTTGTATCAGGACTGAGGCAGGCAACTGTGCTCTAAAAATACGGTTTCCTTCACAAACAGACTGGACCAACCCTGGTAGAGCTGCAGCTTCAGCTTGTCTTCACCTACTGAAGCCATGACGGGTGACACAAAAGGTTCAACAAGAGATAAGTGCAATCAGAGACATGATAATTAAGTTGATCTTTGAGGCACTTCTTAAATAAAAAGTCATCTCCCTATCGCCCTTGCCCCTCCCCCCACTCTGAAAATTACAATAGAAGACAAAAAAACTTTGTGATTACTGATGAAGATGTGCCACTTGCATCAATAAAAAGGCATCGTCAATTTGTGATTCACTACCTACATTATAGTACACAATAACTTATTTTTCTCTTATCACTGTACATTCTTATTGTACATTCCCCCACTCCTACCCAAGAAAATAAAATTTTAACCAAAAGGAAAAAAGTGCATGTTAAATCTCAGGTTCATCAGCAGAACTGGGATGTAAGTTGTGTTCATGATGGCAGGCACAAAATGAAACAGTTCTCTGTTCCAATTACAAAACCAGTCGTGCTTTGTCAGGACAATGGACATTCTGAGGGGGGAAAGGAATGAAACTGAATGAGAAAAAGAAAAGCGGAAGATAACGTAACAACAAGGAATGTCCTTGTAGTTCAGTTTCTTTATTGCCCCTCTAGATACCATAAAAGAGGAGTCTGGTACCGCAACAAAACCATCTGAATTATCCACGGAGGAAACTTTCCCATTCTCCTGTTTGCTTTTCCTTGTTGTACTATAGGCTGTCCTCCCTGTTGTCCTTTACTCTTCCCCCTCCTTGCCTTTCAGAGTTGGCTGAGACAGCAGCTTGGACAGACAGTAGGTGGGCGAAGGAGGAAGCCGGTCCCTCCTTCATACAGACTCTTCTGTGGATAGCAGCAGGGGGTTGATGTATTCAAATCCTTCAAACTCTGACTGGTCTATTCTCTTGATGACGTCCCTGAAAGAAGAAATAGAGGTGGTGATTCATCACGAGCCCAGAGCATAATGCCATCCGCAGCACACATGGATCAAGTTCAGAACAAAGGTGGAGACAGGCGGACAGACAGACTCAGCTCTACGGCATCTTTTTAAAGAAACTGGCAATCCCTTTGGCTCTGATGCAAATTTCACTACATCAACCAGCTGCATTCGCCTGCACCAAGTACCGCTCAAACATCTGACTTAATAACTAAGGCAGTGTTATGTACTAGAGAATGCTGTCACTGAATTTGAGAGGTGGTGGCCTACTCTTTCTAAATGGTATTTGATAGCAGAGACTCTTAATTTTAACAGAAAATTTGAAGTCACTGACAGATAAAACCGATAAAAATGTGGATTAGCCACATGTGACCATTGCTCAACCTGTTTAAAGGAGAAAGATCTGTCTGAGATGAGTGTAATGTGAGGCGTCATGTTACACCCCCCTAAACCACAGCAGTATGTGTCTGTAGCCACAGGTGGGCGTGGTATTTAAGCAGGTGTATATTGCAATGCGCATGGCTTGTAGTGGGGGGAGGGGTTTAGAGGCATAACTGGACACATCACACCTGTACAGATTCTGCCCTGTGTTGCAGTCGACAGACTTTTTTTGTTTAAAGGTCTGATGACACCAGAAATTAAAATGGCAGCTTTCACTGTACTCAGCTCATTCCAATGGAATTGCTGTGGCAAAGTAACCCAAATTTTTTGCATTGTTTAATTTTGGTGAACTCTGACCTGAAAATTCTGCCAGAAGTGGATTAATGGCAATGGCAGATCACCAACTCTCAGAACTACATCACCAAGCTTTTAGAGCCAAGTCATTCCCAAAGACATGCAGATTCATGTCACTGTATTGTCTTCTGGTGGGAACTGGTCTTAATAAGATGGGACACCGGAGCACAATGCTGAGTTTTCTCAGTTTTCTAGGCCCAACTTAATGAAACAAAGATAAACATAAAAAAAAACATTTTTTGTTCCTACCTGCTGCTACAGTGCATCAGCTGGAAACCACTGGATGGGTTGACTCTTTTAAAACTCACTATGAATGTCACTTTTGGCTTTTCATCAAATCATCACACTGACAATTCACATGTTGACATTTGCCCTTCCTGATGCAACCCTGACTTGAACCTGGGCTGCAGCGGCGAGAACACTGAATCCTAGCCACTAGTCTATCTGAGATCTCAATCTTTTAAATCTCAGTATATATCCTTAAAACCCTGTACAATGACACCACTTAGTACATGATGTTAGACAGAACCACAACATGGTTTAGATTTATTAATGGAAGAACTCAAACTGCTTTTTATTTCCTGAGTACATACAGTAGGCTGCTTTCATTGCCAAAGGCCAAATCTCAGGTAAATGGAGTTGAATCCCATCAGTAGTGGTCTCAGAGTGGCTGGGTAAAAATAACTACACTCCCATAGCAACACTGCTGGCTTCTTCTCTGCAGCAACAGGCTGTTTACTCATCTCTCTGTGTGTGTGTGGTGATGTGAGACATAGGACTGAAGCCCAGAAAGGAGGTCTCTTGCTGGGAAAGGCTAAGAGGCTTTCTGCCTACAGCCATTGAACAGGGGGCTTTGAAGTTAAAACAATAGGTGTGTTCATTGGACTTCACCCTGCTGCACCAGGTGGGTGGGAGTCTCACTTTAAGGGGTCACCGCCAGTGTTGAACAGGTTGCAGATCCCACCCACAGAGAGCACCAGGATAAGTGAATGAAATGCAACACAGTCTTTCTTTCAGGCTGCCGACTAGAATACTGATGAAACAGATATTTTCTCTCCATCTAATCTCATGTGAAGTGCTCACACTGTAGGAGTCGGTCAACAACCAATACAACAATTAGATTTAGAAAAGGGTGTTTTTCCTATTTTAGAGTTTGGAGAGAACAAAGAATCAGAAAGAAGAACTGCAGAGAGGGGAGAACATTTGGGAGTTGACCAAAACAAACAGTATGTTCAACCAACGTACACACTGCCTTTTTTCCAGACTTGCACGACTTAAAACCACTGCCAGATGTAGAGTGAGGAGGGACGGAGGAGGAGGAAGTGAAGTGGGAGAGACGGAAGGTTTCTAGAGGGCATTTCAGCTGGTTTGTGAAAACTAACATTTGGCACCAATATTAACTAAAAAAAAAACATCAACACTTCTACACTGATCACATGAACAGCTATTGGAAAGCTAAGAATGAATTTTAAACATGTAAGACACCAGTTGTACAGGGTATCTGTAGCGAGAAAAACTCTTACCTGTACTTTCTGTACTGCCACACTAGACCAGAAAACAAGTCAGGGTATGATCGGGGTCAAGGTACTATCAGGGATGTCCTTTTAAGGGGGATATCCCTGAAATGTACAAGTCACTCAGAAAGTAAAAATATAGGTATCTTTTCTGTGCGATCAGATTTAACTTATTTTACACAGTTGGGCACTAAAGACTTTAAAGTAGTGAATTTAAGTTTTCAAGGTATCTTTATTGTCCCAGTAGGGCAATTTGATTCACAGTCAGCAGCGGTAAACAGATGAGACAAAAACAACAACAGTAC